TTATTGTGGATCTTTTTCTTTTACATGTTTTATTATTTGTATTTTTTGTATTGTGTGTATTTTGAATTCATTTGAAAAAAAAGAAAATGATTTTGAAATATAACTTTCTACATATACGAATACAGGTAAAATGTTTTTAGTATTTATATCAATCTCTTTTATTTTCATTGGAAAAATGAAGCGATGGTGCTTCGAAGTGGAAGAAATAGGCAAAATGTCAAAATTACCCCAAACGACTTCATTTTTTAAATGCAAACCCAGATCAGTTATTAGTGAACAAACAAATGTGACACAGGTCTAGCTGCAGTGATTAAAATACACCACAATAACAACATCCTTACTATTCAAAATAACCTAAAAGTCAACCTGATGCCGGTTTAGAAAGTGCTGAACAGCTGAACTAGTTGAAGATTATGTTGTCTCTAATGAGGATCAGAATCCTTTTGGTGATAATTCTACATCTACCAATCAGTGTACTGGTCAGTTCATCTGGCCAGAGAGCATTCCTTTTCTTCGAAATAATGAAACAATTTCCCGTTGCTTCACAAAGGAAAACTATAATATTCATAAGAAGAATGGGGGAAAATTTTAAGGATCTGGTTAGTTTACTCCAATTCTTCAGATAGCGTAATATGTTTCTGCTGTAAACTGTTCAACAGAAGAAACGAAGGCACTGTCTCCACTTCTAGTTCACAAAGGACCCGTTCCTGGCAGCATTTGTCAACTGCATCGAAGGAACATTCACTTCTGCACATAATAAACATGGACAGATAGCGTAGCCTAAAGTGTGCAGTTCTGGGCACGGGTGAGATTAAAAATGTCAATTTGGAGTTGATAAGGCAAAAGGAAAAATATTGGAGAGCGGTTTTAACTCGAACTGCTACCATTATTCATCATTTGGCCGAGAGAAACTTATCTTTTCGTGCCACAATCCTCACGACCCATTTAATGGAAACTTTCTCGGACAAGTAGAGCTACTAGCGAAGTTCGATACAACAGTGGCAGAACATTTGGAACGAATTCAGCGTAAGGAAATGAGTGGCCACTATCTCGGCAAAATGATACCGAAAGAATTCTTCGAGCTTCTTGGAAATCACGTTGTGCAATAAATAGCTAGATATTTTTCGTGAAAATGGACTGTACTCCTGATATTAGTCAACAAGAGCAATTATTAATAAGTCTACAAATTTTTGACCGTAGTTTATCAGATGGTGGTTGTGTTTTCAAACATTTCTTCGAATTTATTACCATTGCTGATTCCAGCGGGAAAGAATTGCTGAAAGCTTTTTTGTCTCACATACAGATCTTGATATATTAACAGTTGCAGGAGCCTGTCTTATGATAATTGCTTCAATATGAAGATCATGAATAAAGGTGTTCAGAAAAACCTGCTGGACATCAATAATAAAGCAATGTATATACTTTGCGCAAGCCACAGATTAAATCTGATTATATTAGATACTTAAAAGCCAACAATGCATGCCTTGAATGTTTTTGCATTGGGGAGCGACTATATGCTATTTTCAGTAGCTCCGTGCAGCGTTGGGCAATTTTGAAAGAGCACGTGTCCGGTTTAACTTTAGAAAGGTTATCGGATACACATTGGAAAAGTAGAATTGAGGGTTTGGAGAATTGTGAGAAGCCTGTGATGCTTTAAATACATTGTACAAATATGCCACCTACAAGAAAGCTAAAGCTACAGCCTCGGATGCATCAAGTTTGAACAATGACATTGCTTCATAGAAGTTCATCATTTCTGTTGTAATTGGCCTGGCATGGCCAGGTGGTTAGGGCGCTCGACTCGCAATCTGAGGGTCGCGGGTTCGAATCCCCGTCACACCAAACATGCTCGCCCTTTCAGCCATGGGGGCGTTATAACGTGACGGTCAATCCCACTATTCGTTGGTAAAAGAGTAGCCCAAGAGTTGGCTGTGGGTGGTGATGACTAGCTGCCTTCCCTCTAGTCTTACACTGCTAAATTAGGGACGGCTAGCGCAGATAGCCCTCGCGAAATTCAAAAAACAAACAAAACAAACTGTTGTAATTTGATATGATGTCTTATACCAAGTCAACAGAGCGAACAATGTATTTCAGAGGTGCCATATGACAATCTTATCAATGATTTTGCAATTTCTAAAGCACGAAAAGTACATTTATGGACCTGTGTATCTTGAATAAATAAAAAATAATATTTTTTTCATTCATGGTCAGGTAAAATAATATTTAATTGGGGGAGAAGTAGAATGATACAAATGTTAATATGCTCGAATATCAGGCTGGAACTTCCGGTTTAGTGGTTTTTGGCAGGAGCAACTCTTGGTGGAGTTCTTCGAAATTGAACCATTTTAAAATTTATATCGGGCACTTGAATCCCCCCCCTAGAAAGGGGGCCTCCAACATCGCAGCATTGCGTGAAGGCCTCAAGAGTCTAGATTCGGCCTTGCTTATAGTTGGTTAAAGGCGATTTCTCGACCATATAACAGCCTTTTCCAAAGGGTATTTGTAGAGTAACTTCGTGAAACGATTTAGAGGAAAATGATGCTGCACTTAGAAGAAGTGAACCTTCAACGTTTTTCGTAGAAGCGGAAAAGCACGCACAGCAGAGTGTTTAGAACAACAAAGGGTTTTGAAAACACACTCCAGTCCAATCCGGAGTAACGCCCTCATCTGTAAAGTGAAGACTATGGTCACAACTAAGAATCCTTCGCCCTAAACATTATTGAGAAGAAATTAAGAAGCTCTTCAGATACCATTAGAAAGTTAACAAGGACTAAAGCTGACATTATAAAAGTTCTTAAGCTTTCAGACACACCTTAAAATCAACTGAATTTTACATTAGAAAGATGGCCGAAGAAATTGGAATCAAAGTCCTCCGATGCAGCTCTAATGGGCTCTCGCGCTAATGGTCTGATTAAACGTGATCAGAAGTCAACGTTCAAGCAAATAGGAAGATTTATGAAAAATCTTTAAAAAAATGTGGTCTATGATTGACCTCTCTCTCCTTTGCAGGGTCTTATCATTGTGGAAACAGAAGTGTATAATTATAACCATTAAACTGAAGACGATCAACGATGGAAGAGACAGTTCCAAGAAAAAGTACGAGGCCTGTAACATATATATATATAGTACAATTAAACTTAATAATTTATTCGATATTTATGCTTTATGGACAGATAAAGGGGTTAAATTAATATAAACAACTTGAGGGGAATGTGATTTTTTACAATATTACACTAAGAGTTTTAAGTACACGTCGTAAAAGTACGATGAACTTTGGTTGGTGAACGTGAAAACTTGTTTTTATCTAAAAGTTATTCCATAAAATTCTCGTGAAAACTTAAAATTTTGGTGCCAGAGGATCAAAAATAAAACGTATCTTGGTAAACTGATGAAAACTGATTACAAATAACCTTTTTTCACAATCATGACAAAGTATGGTTGATTTTGTCCATCTATTCATGAAAGTAACAACAAGTAAATCAGATTTTCGTTCTCGCTTTTTAAGAAATAAGTAGGTAAGATTAAGATAATCTTTATGAACAGACACCAACAGAAATGTAAATTAGTCTCGTTTTTTCAGTCTTGAATATGGTAAAATAATCTCTTCTGTTTGACGTTTTAAGGAACTTGATATTTAAAGTTATTTTCTAAGGCCTCACATGCTAGTAAATTGTATACTACTTTCACTGATGTTTGCATCAAGAACACTTGAATGTAGTAGAAGTTTTAAGAACAATATTTACAATGCATTTATTTTAAAAACAATTATCCAAAACCGTTTCTCAGTAAGACACATTCTGCTTTTTAAACTATAATATCCGGGCAAGTAAATTAATAGGTGGTTGGTAGCCCCTCAGACAGACAGAGAGATAAATACTAAACAACAAATTTAAAATAGTTTTTGATCTGTATGGTAACCTATCAGTAATTAGTTAAATATTGTAAACGAGATAGGAAAAGCCATTAATAATACAAATTAAACAATGGAAAGAAATATATAAAAATGCTTTCTTCTTTCTTATTAAATTGATTTATTTTGCAACGTTTTGGCCTTAGGGCCACTTCAGCCAAAGGACAAAATACAACTGACCATGGTAGAGAGTCGGTTGGAATATAACATAACACGAGACACGCATGAACAGAGCGAGACAAGTCGATAATACGTAACAAATATGAAATAAAACATTGTTAGCGAAGTATAAAACAAAAAGTATAATATATATAAAATACACACACATGTATATAAACATACATATAAATCCTTATATATAGATCTACAACTACTAATATATTAAAAAAGACTATAAATGATGTTTATAAATTCATTCCCTTATTCAGAGTTTCTTTTAATAGGTTTTGAGTTTGGCTATTTGTCTTTGTAAAAGTTTTTTTTATTATTATTTATAACTCCCTGTTTTTCTCTCTCTAATAATTTATTCTAGTGTAAACTGTTCGTGGAACAAACGAGTTATTTGTTGTTACAAGAAGCTTTGAAACAACAATGGAAATACAAATACCGTTTTTTGATACAATAAAAGCACACAGCACTAATGTGATTTAGCCCGCTTACCGTTTACAGGAACTTGTAGAGCAGGATTAATTAATTCAATATACACAAACATTCTTTAGGGAAGAAAACACTTTAGTCCTGCAACTACAAAGTTAGTATTTTATATCACGATTACAAAATTCAAACATGTCTCGTATTTTTGCAACGTGTTTTAATAGTGCATGTACAAATAGAGTGGGTAGTTTTTAACCACCAATAATTACTGTTCTGATGCCCTTTTTTATCTCTTTTTATCATCAAGCAAAACATATTATAGTTAGAGGCAGGCAAAGCACTCATTCTATAGGTTGAATTCTATTTTTAGTTACAGGCGGCAAGAAATTACTTTTGCGGGAAAATCAATTACCCGCCAGAAGCAGCACAATTTCACGAACTCACTCACCTGTGTCTGTTTATCAAATACATACAATTCGACCTCATTGTTACTGACCTGGCAATTCTGAAGAAATCGAAGCGCAGGCCATACTGAGCACACCTGGAATGATTGAAGAAAAAAGTAATCAGAAAACAACGGTCGCTAAGTTATCTTATTGGAATCAGATTAAACTATATATATAGATAAATAAAACAAGACTGATAAGTGACATTTTCGATTAAACATAAAATAAACGAGTATCTTTTGTGTATCTATGACAGTTTCTATACATCCTTTGTCTTACGTTCTGCTTTGTCTACTTATATGTCAGTCGATCTGTCTATCTGTCTGTGCCGTCGTTTCTTAAATTCTTATTCACCCATATTATCACTTGTGTTAATTCTTCTGTTCACCATTCTGTTCATCCTGCCTACCTACCTTGTACCAGTGAGCTGAAGTTTTCTTTTATATTACATGCTGTGGTATTTCGCGATGATTTATTACACCTATAATGCATATACATCTATAAATGCATACTATATATACATATAAAACATACGATATATACACACTTTGTAGATCGATCAAAAACCTGCCAATGAAGACTTAAAAGGACAAAGAACGTAAAAGTATAAACAACACGGACTCAATGTTTCTCTTTTCAGATTGCTAGAAACTAAACAAAAGAAACAGCCAACACCAAAAGAACCTGCATTAAATTATATGGCAGTAAAAAAGACGAACTTTATATATTAAAAAATAACGGGTGTGGGATAAGTTTAAAAGTGTCTTTGATATAAACCATTTTTGTTTAGTAAAAGTGAAATGGAAAAAGCAACGAAAAATCAGTGTTCATGTTTGAAAAAAAAAAAAGAGTGACCGTTTCGCTATGTATTTCAATAAATAAATAAGAGTGTCAATTAACTGGAACGTGAGATGGTAATAACTTGCATTAAAAATTCACTTCTGCCTAAAATTCTTACTTGGGAAGAAACAGACTGTATGTGCAAACTTGCATATAAAACCGTGCTAACAAATAGCACATCTGTTAACATTTCAACTTAATGATTTTTAACATGAATTACGCAACATTTCAAATACCGTGTTTTTAAGAAAATAAATGATTTTGAATCACATTCAAATTTTCATGAGAATAACAGAAAACAGCAAACAAACAAACAGATAAAGAGAAGTAAGACACCATTCAACTAGTGAGGTAAAGAAACACCACTAATCATTCCAAAAAGATATATCAAACTGATATTTAGTGATGCACACACTTTCTCAAGCAACAGACTGTAAGTAAATTACTTTAAGTCTAATATACGAACAAAACTAAAACCTACTTCTTGACAGTTGCAGCAACTACTGTAACACATAGTGACATCAGCCAGGATTGAGCAGTTTAGGTTCGGTCTTTTTCTGTCATTACTTAAACATCTGAAAATAAACATAGATTAGGGATTCATAGCAAAACACATTCTTTTTGGTAGTTTACATTACATATCAGTATAGTTTTTGGTTACATATCAGTATAGTTTTTGGTAGTTTACATGGTGATGATTTGTCCAGAAAGATACATCTAAGAATTTACCAGTTCTCTGATACTCTGTATAATACATACTTGTATGCACGTATGTATTATGACCGTAATTTTCACATTTACTTTGGTATTATCCCTTTACAAAATAATGCTAAATATGAGCCTTTTACTTGAGGCATTCAGAGATTGTGTTTAGAAACACGTAAATGTACATAATTAAACGTTTTAACCATCTTTAAGAATAAGTTATGTGTAAAAGATTTAAGATAGATCATATCTGGGAGCTCCTCAGGAAAAACGCACTATTATTACATTCGTTTGTGAGAGTATAGAGGTTGGGTACGTCATGTTAAAACGACTTTGGAGCTTCGCCACATCATTACAACTCATGTCGCCACGTCTGTTCGTTTCTATCCGATGAGCGCGTAGCTGACATAGCCTTGCAATATAGTTTCCATTGTTAAAGTTTCTTTCCTAGGACTGTCATTTCCAATGCACACCACTCATCCCTGCAAGTTTTCTATAAGCCATCAGGTGTACGAGGATGAATGTTTCTCAGCGCCAGTTTAAACAGTACGATCGCACTAAAAAATATAAGTGCTGTTACCAGCGACTTGACGGATATGTCTTTAGATGGAATAACATGAATACTCATTTAGTTCTCTTTTGACACTGATCTTTATATTTATGTCGACTCTTAATCGTTTCTGTTCTCTAAAAACTTTGTTTCTACTTCCAGAAAAAATCCAGTAAAAAAACAAACTAACAAAAACGGACAAACATTAACCTAAAAATTACTCGAATTTTAATTAATCTTTTGTTTATAGAAACTTTAAGACTTTTTCTTATTGTTTCAACACATGTTCCTGTATCAGGACTGTGGAGGCGAATGATAAGTAGTCTGCGAAAATTGTTTGAGGTTAGTACATATACAGTATTGGTGAATAAAAATCTGTTAATACCAAAGCCATGTATTTTAATACTTTTTCACACCTCTAGGTGTCCTACTATTCGTCGGTTTAGATAAATAAATAAATATATATATATACAGCAATTTTTTGTCAGTTATTTAAGACAACGACAGTATAACTCGAAACCAGAGTAACCAGTATTGGATCCAACTTGAATGGCACCTTATGCAGACGTGAGCTAAACGGATTAAGATTTAGATTCCTAACCTAATTTTAAACTACTGTCAGTTAGCCAGGAGCACCCGCCACCACATTTTATCCGGCCTTTTTTTTAGTAGAATAACAGGAATGAATGTCTCTTTTTTTTTTTAACGCGCTCACAGCTAAAAGTGCGGAGCATGTTCCTTGGCATTACACTAATCTCTTGGCCACGCCCAGCCCAGGGATGGATCGAAACGATACACGAATCAAGACTTAACAAGTTTCCTCCAACCAACAACTGACGAAGAAGGCACCAGTTCTTTTAATATGAAGAAGGTGAAGCGTGCCCTCTTATGAACAAGTCTAATAGACAAGAAGCCATTATGAACTAACACGTTCAGATGTGAAGTTAGATAGTAAGACTACTTTAACAAGCGTGTTTTTGTGTGTGCAGTAAAACAGTTAAGATCGTTCTGTTTTCAGTAATCCGTAAAAAAAAAATATGAGAACACTACAATGTTACTTATTGTTGGAAAATACCACACTCCATGGGTGCTGCTCTCTCATTGTTCAACTATTTGTTGCCCAGGCAACCCTCGTGTGTTCAGAATTCACGCGTGCAAGACACATTCAAGATCCTCTGTGAAAGTATAAGTATATGTGATGCGTAGTTTTTGAATTATAGTCATTAGAACATACGTCGCTAACTACAAATCAAATGCACGGTTAAAATCAACTGAGAAGATCAAACCTATATCAGCAAGTTTAAACACTTCTAGATGAAGTGTAATGGGCCTACCAAGCTTGAAACCCGAAGTAACAAAAACAACTCCACAGATCTTACACACTTTAACTTACAACTATTTTATTTTTTTTCTATATAAATTTTAACCCACAACCAGGTATTCTAATAAACGGGTTTGATACTTTACTTGGTATCTTATGTGGTCCAGCTTCCATTTTCACATGCAGATTTTAACATAGACTTTGTATCCCCGCCCAGTAGCGGAAATAATTTACACTCATGTGTGTATGTGTAGACAATATGAACCAAGAAACTTTCATCTGATTTGCTTAAATTTGGTACAAAGTTTGACTGTCCTCCGGAGGACCAAATAAATAGTTTTGTGAATGCAATTTAAAGGTTAAGGTCACGTTGAAGGACGTCCACTTTTGTTATAATTATAGCTAATGTTGAAAAACGGTCAGAACTCGACAATAAATTGAGATAGAAAGAGAACTAGCCGTTTAGGCCTACATTTTTAAGAGTGAGGAATTGTTTGGTACATATTTTAGGTTGGTTACTATAAAAGTAACAAAAAAAAAACATTGCAGGGTGGTTGCAATATCTGAGTGTCTTTACAATTTTTTTATTTTTCTCAAATGTTAACCGATTCTGAATGCTTTTTCTCTTAAAGAACACCTTCTCTTTTTTGTCTTAAAGAACACCTTCTTATCTTTTGTTTTAAACAACACTTTTTTCTCTTTGTGTCTTAAACAACACCTTCTTTTTTGTCTTAAACAACACCTTCTTTTTTGTTTTAAACAACACCTTCTTTTGTGTCTTAAACAACACCTTTTTTGTCTTAAACAACACCTTCTTTTTTGTCTCAAACAACACCTTCTTATCTTTTGTTTTAAACAACACTTTTTTCTCTTTGTGTCTTAAACAACACCTTCTTTTTTGTCTTAAACAACACCTTCTTTTTTGTCTTAAACAACACCTTCTTATCTTTTGTTTTAAACAACACTTTTTTCTCTTTGTGTCTTAAACAACACCTTCTTTTTTTGTCTTAAACAACACCTTCTTATCTATGTTTCTAGATTTTAACTCGTACTTAATTTTCCTTCCTATAGGATGTTCTCATAGAAATAAATAAATTACTACACATACAAAAATATTACTTATCTTGCTGTACTTTATTTCTTAACCAGGTTATCAGGAAACACGATTAGAGTTTTTGTTGTCAGAATTTATCACATTCATTTATATTCATTAGCGTTTCACAGCGCTTTACTTACATTAGAAGTGTAGCTGCTAAACCAACGTTAACCATTTTTGTTTGTGGCCTTTTGTATACATCCCAAAACCCCAACTGCTCTTCTCTCTCTCTCTCTTTCTATGTTTTGCTATAATGAATTACTACAGACGCCCTTTAATAGAAGGTCGATAAATAACAAATTATGGCTAAGACGAACTACGTTTTCTTTCAAAAAATATGAAACAATAAGTAACCGAATACAAATGCAAATATATGACCAAAAGAGAGAGAAACTCTGCTCCCTCTACATCATGCTCGTTATTGACGAAAGAATAAAAAATATTTCTTTGAAAATTTTCATGGACTGATTTAATACTAATCGCTTGCATAGACAGCGCCACAAAATTTATAGGAATAATTCACTTTTTTCTTGATAAAGAATGTACACTAAATCCAACCAGAAAACCATTAAATTATGAGCAAGTACCTACACCAAAAAGATCGATCATCCGGCACCAACTACTTAATATTCAAGCAATGACTGAATGAAGGAAACAAAGTCGTTCACAATGAGATTCATTAACGTTATTTCTTCTTATCAAATTAAGTAATTTAAAATACAGAGTATGTAGTACAATGTAATATGTAAGATTTTGTGAGCCAAAACTTGCATCATATATTTTAATATATATAGTTTAATTCCAATAATATTATTCTTATGACAAGTGACAGCAATGGATAATTTTTCAATAGTTAAGTTCTGCTATTTATGTTTTCACTGAGATTTTTTTTAAACGACACTCTAATTTATCAAACAGCCATACATAATATGATAAACGACACTCTAGTTTATCAAACAGCCATACATAATATGGTAAACGACACTCTAATTTATCAAACAGTTTACCATATTATGTATGGCTGTTTGATAAACTAAAGTGTCGTTTACCATATTATGTATGGCTGTTTGATAAACTAAAGTGTCGCTTACCATATTATGTATGGCTGTTTGATAAACTAGAGTGTCGTTTATGATATTATGTACGGCTGTTTGATAAACTAGTGTCGTTTATGATATTATATATGACTGTTTGATAAATTAGAGTGTCGTTTATCATATTATGTATGGCTGTTTGATAAACTAGAGTGTCGTTTATCATATTATGTACGGCTGTTTGATAAACTAGTGTCGTTTATGATATTATATATGACGACACTTTAGTTTATCAAAGAGCCATACATATTATTATAAATCATTTAAAATGTACAGAAACTGAATTAAGAGAGTTAATATGTTTTCGGCATGAATATCTAGGAGAAATACAACACAGGTACACAAAATTAAGAGACAAAGTGAATTTTATTGTTATAGTTATATCGACAATCTACTTTGAATCTATGTTATGTATTCTATTGACAAGGCCCCCCAGTGGCACAGCGGTATGTCTGACGGACTTACAATGCTAGAAACCGGGTTTCGATACCCGTGATGGGCAAAGCAGAGATAGCCCATTGTGTAGCTTTGTGCTTAACTTCAAACAAACAAACAAACAAATCTATTGACATAATTGCCTTTAATTATTTATTAATTGTTCTATTATCAGATTGCACTGAGTCTTTGTTAAATATTATAACAATATATTGCGTTGAATCTACGTTATGTATTCTATTAACAGATTTGCGTTGAATCTTTGTTGTGTATTCTATTCTACTGACATAATTGCGTTGAATCAACGTTATGTATTCTGTTGACAGATTTGCGTTGAATCTTTGTTGTGTATTCTATTCTACTGACATAATTGC